CTATAAAAAATGCTGTTGCTTCATATGCAGCTTCATCTAAATGTGTCAACACTTTTCCTTGAGATAACCATCTTACTTCAGTCTGTAGCAGGAAGAACTTGTGGTGGCTTCCTATAACTTTATATACTAGTTTGAAGAGCATGCTTTTAAAATGTTGCAATTGTGTGTAGTTTCATTATTTTTATACCATCATTCAATCTTAATAAGATCAGAAGGCGCTTTTCTCGAAGCTAGTGTATGAAGAATACAGTGGTTGTGTTATGTTAAAAATCACGGTACCAATAAGGTTATGATCAAAAATGTCATGGCACCAATAATGTTATGGTTTCCTAAAGGTCTGGTACCTAAAAGGTTTCCTACTCTGTTGACAAAACACTTAAAATTTTTTAACAGTAATATACTAATATCAGTAAGCCCTGTACATTTGCGTTGTGTTTTCGGATTAACCCTGAAATCAATTTGAGAATGAGACGGGTGAAAATCATGAGCACACACACAAAAAGAAATAAATAAACATTGACTGATCTAGAAAAGTGAGCCTATTTATTAAAATTTTTAAGAGTTACTTAGTCCAGTAATTTGTAGGCAATTTATATTCAATCAGAACTGTTAACATATTGATTATTACACAGTGCAGAATTAACTTAGTAAGCAAATTATATTCAAGCTGAACTGTAAAATATTGCTTTCTACAAAATGCATACCTCTACAGAGTAAACTATTACTTCTTAGACTCAATAATATCAAACTATTATTGCTATTACATTCAGATAAATATGATGAGATAAAACTTTGGATAAATTAACAATACCCTCCCCGGGGAGAAAAAAAAAAAAGAATAATTAACAAGTTATACATTCCAAAAAAACATTTCACACAGAGTAATCAATACCAATGTAATTCTGGTTATTGCACATAGTAACTTTCTATTTTCAAAAGAATGATTTAACCGGGTAATATGTTAATTAAAATCAGCTATTACATCCTACAAGCAATTTAACTCAGAATAATCAATACCAATGTAATTCAGAAATAAAGGTTATTGCACATAGTAACTTTCTATTTTCAAAAGAATGATTTAACCGGGTAAATGTTAATTAAAATCAGGCTATTACATCCTACAAGCAATTTAATCCCTAAGAGGAGCAAAGAAGCTCAAATAATGACACCTTTACCAATCAATCTTCACCAAGAAAGAAATTCACAAGTTCAATTAAATAATTTAATGAAGAATAAATTTCCTTAACCAATCTGACTAATTACATTCACTGTTTCAATTAACTAATTTAAATAATGATATATTTCCTTGGCCAATCTAATAATTTACTTTATGGACAACAAAATGATTTCATTAGAATTAGGTTAATTTACTCAACTACAAAATTTTAATTCAACTAATTAAGTTATTTCAATCACTATTAACTATTTTAGTTGTTAGAATTACTTATTAGAAATGTCTATTAAACTTTACTATAAGAATTAACTATTATAAATTCCCCCCCCTTTTTTTTATATATATATATATCAGACCAACAAATAAAAGAAAACACAAAAAAAAAAAAAAAACTTATCTGATGAAATACAGGCTGCAGGTGAACAGGAGGAGGAGAAATGCCCTCATATTTAAAAATTATCAAGATGCCAAGGAGGACGGCTGCTGAGCGTAGTAGAAAATGAGAAGAGTTCATAGGTAGATAGTTTTCCAAAAAGTCCAGCAATTACTATTGATTTAAGAAGCACTACGGAGGTTCTCTTTGATGTCCAATGCAGTATTGAAGTTAGCATTTTTGTCGTAGCGACAACAGAGCTAGCGATGCAGAAGACTCTTGATGGCGGCAATTAATTCTTAAAGATTAGGAATATCGATGCAGATGAAAACTCTATTCATGGAGGAGAATATTGAAGTGTAGAATTATGTAATAGCGACACCGGAGCTAGCGATGCAGATGAAAACTCTATTCATGGAGGAGAGACTGAAATTTCTTCTTAACGGCACTAGAACTAGGCATCACCCTTCTTTGCATTTTCCTATTTTAATTATCTTTGAGTAACTTACATATTAAGGCACGGCAATGAGGAGCCTATAATTTAGTCGAGGTCATAATGCGTGCAACTAAGTCCCTCGTTCAAAACTCCAGGGCAAGAGGCCCGTAGATCCAAAGGCGGAAAAATGCATTTTCCGAAATGAAATTCAGCTGCCAACGAGACAGCGTCCGATGGTAAGTAGAAAGTGTAAAAAAGTGCGCTCGTCCCACAAAACAACCCGTTAAAAGGGAGAGCACCGGACTGCCAAGTTGGCGCAACCCATTTTTCGCCGAAAGTTGAAATAGTTGCAACCACAGCATACCCTCATGTTATCAAACTCGCCAAAACTACTATTTTGAAACCTCAATGGAAAATCTATGTCGCCAAACCCTCGCCAAATAAACACCACCTGCGACCGGGGGAGATTAAGAATTTCAACAACCCTGCAAGGGTCCCAACGAAAGAACGCTGAAAACTCGCAAAAAGTGACTTTTCAACCGGAAAGAAGGCATTTCATCCCCCTTTAACTAAATCACAAGCGAAACGAAGAAAAATCTACTAATTAAAGCTCATAACTGAAATGCAATTAAAGTTAGAAAAATGACAGTTATGCCAAAGTAAAGAGCTAATTTTTCTGCAACTAATGGTATTAAATACTAAGAAATCAAATTAATTTTTGACATGAAAAACTGAGTTTATTACGTAGGAAAAAAAATACTTATCCATTGTTTGCGTGTACAAGAATGAAGACGCAGTTCGCGTAAACTCAGAAAGCCAAAATATATTACACTAGAATTAATAGGCCCAAAAAGAATATAACCAAACTTGTGTAGCTCAAATTTTGAATAATTACAAATTAAAATTTTGATTTTTATGAATCACTTAATTAAATTAAATTCGCTACACAACAGTTGATGCTACATTTATTTACCTTATTTTTAATTTTAACATAATGGCTTCGGCATTGTGACCAGTCTTTTCCGACCGCCATTGCATATATTTGCAGTTTTCTTGTGGTATTTCATTCAGTGAGAAGAAGCTCATCCAAAAGGTAAAATTTCTCACCTTCTGATGCTAGTTTCTAGTTATCTGTTCAGAAGAAGCTCCTTTTTATAGCTTTATAAGGTAACAGAAGAAGGAAATACCAATAAAATTACTAACTTGGTAACATCAGTAAGATTTATCCATTTGCAGTGACAATTTTGTGCACTTGATACAACTGATAAATGTCTCTTTTGCTTCATTAGCCATATCTCTTCGTTGACCAACCATAGGTGAGCTACCACGAGTGGAATATAGTACAAAATACCTATTCATACTGTAAGCATATTCTCTGAGTTTTGTGGTTACTTAATAAAAATACTGAAATTATGTGCATTTTTTAAAACATTAATATCTATCTTTAGGATGGGGTGAAGGTTAATAGAATTAAGTTCTTTTCATTTTGTGCTGCAAGTATAGCATTGCTAAAATATCAGTGATAGAGTTACATACCCAATTATCAATCGCAGAGAAAATGTAATTAGGATTTGACTGACAGTAATTTATCTGTAATGTAATAAATACACTGTTACGTAGATGTTTGATTTTCTTATCTAGTCTGATTTTTTTCTTTCACAGACACTTTTTATGATATTTTAATGAACATTTATTTTTAAAGGCATATACTAGTATCTTGTACAAAATTATTTTATAATTACTGCTATCAGGGTCATAAATACAAAATGAAGAGGTACAATAAATGTTATAAATACAGCTGAATCACTGGGTTTAAATCCACTGAACTGTTTGTTAAGAACTATATCTTGAAGAGCCATTGAATCCTTGTTTTGTAATGAAAGAACATTTTCCGAATTTTTCATGGCTAGCTGAAGTGACAACATTTTCCTGCACAATAATGAAATTTGTTCAGAAGTATGATGAAAAAATTAAAACACTCTATTTCTATGAAAAATCTTTATCATCATGCAAACAAAAGTGCTCAATCTGACTTGATTTATGTGACCTTGAAAATTGAAGTAAAATATTCCATTTCCCTCTGTTCTCAGTTTTCATGCAGAAAATTTTAACATTATATATTTTAACTGCTGTAATCTGAATGTTTTATTACTGTGTACAATATGTGAAATATATATTAAATACACACAGCTGTGTTTGAGTTACTCTTAAGAAATAAACAAATTAGCCAAAAACCAGATCAGCATTATCCTGTGAAAGCTTTAACTAGAAATTCTAACACATCAGGCAACATCATGAATACCATTTCTACTGTTTAAGGCATGGAAGAGGAGAATCATGTTATGAGATCCAAAATATTCATTTTCACGTGTGTGTTTGCAAAAGGATTACATTGTACCTATGTAGTGATGCAGTTTTGTTTCGGTTGCAGTTTGCCATAAATATGCATGCCTTCTGACTCGTAGCATATTGTTCCATCATTACAATGCCAGACCTTATTGGCTTAGACAACTTAAGAATAGATTGCACAGTTTGGATAGGAACTTCTGCAGTATCTTTCAGTACAGCCCTAATTTAACCACAAATGATTTTCACTTGTTTAGTGTCCTTAAAGATCATCTTCATGATATTCATATATATTGATTTCTTGGGAATGACATAAATATTGAACAAAAAAGTCCAAATGTACCTGTAGTAACAACCCAAAGACTTTGGTGTTACAAATATAATGAACATTTTGCAGATTAATGAATAACAAATTCAGTGTAAGAGTGGATTATGGGGTAAAACAAACCTGATTACTGCATAATTGTATGATTTTCCTTCTTTGCAACCATTTGCAGCATATTTACTGATTACCCCGAATATAAATTTGAGCTATATTTTCTGAGAAAATTCTTGACAAACTGTCAAAGGAATCTTGAATGTTTCGCCATAGCAAATAGTTATCCAGTTTAATATTTAATTTTACTAGTGTAATTATAAGCTAACAGAAGGTATTCATTTTCATTTTTCAGATCACCAATTGGTGGACGCCGTCGCTCAACAGACAGCCTACCTTATGGCAAGAGCTCACCTCCATCTTCACGACGTCCATCTTTTGATCCTAATTCTGCTCCTGCCCCTTTACCAGAGCAAGCAGAAAGTCCCACAGAAACTTCAGCAGCACATAAAGTACCTGTGGATGCTGCATTGTCCTCGGTGAGTGCTGGTGGATCATCTTGTTCTCCTCCTCCTGGGACGGTATGTGTCCTGTAAATTTAGGAGCATTCTTGAGGAATTTCTTAGACTAAAGAACATTATAAATATTCTGAAGTAGTTTTACTTTCAAATTCATTTCTAAATTAAAAATTTACATTTTGCACTTTGCTGAAATTTGGTGATTTTTAAAATTAATATGGCAAAAACTAGAAAGCACTATGACAACCTTAAAAAAAATGAGAAATCACAGTCAAATTGTATAATACACATAACGCGTAATGTGCTCAATGCGAAGACTGTGTGTGGTGGCAAATTATATACATATACACAGTGTCTCAAAAAAGTCATGGGACACTTGTGCTTTACAAAAGGAAACTGCAATAAAATTAATTTAAAAAACATGTAAAATTTTTTGTGGGTGTGTTTCATACTTAAATTTAGTAACAATTATTATTACATAATATACATTTTCTCAAAATATTAAAATATTAATTAATTAAAAATACAATTGTTTAGAACGGAGCAGAAAATGGCTCACTTAAGTGATGGACACTACGTACTATGCAACAAAAATCGTCTGAAGTAAGCAATAAAAATATCTTTTGGGGTATTTATTTTTTACTCAAAAGCAATTGCCGATAATTTATAAAATCGTCTGCAGTATTTTCTCTCCATTTGTTTTGGAATTTTTGTGTTTTTTTTAGCTCTGTGCAGCCATGAATGCTAAACGAAAAGAAACTTTGCCTGGAATTCGAAAATTAGTTATTAATTTGCATATTGAACGTGGAAAATCTATTAGAGAAACTACTGAAACAGTTAACTTCAGTCATTCAACAGTTTTCAATATCATTAAACGATATAAAAAGAATCATATGATTCAGGATAAAGAAGACCTCTGGCCTGACCATCAAAGCTATCCAAATGGAATAAAGCGAATTATCGTTCGAAATATTAAAAAAAAACTCCAAGAATGAGTGCTCCTAAAGTTGCTGTCCTGATTTACAAGCATTATATGGAGTAATTGTTAATCCTGAGACTATTGGAAGAGTAATTCGATCTATGCTGGATATCACGGTAGAGCAGCCAGGAAAAAATTCTTCTTAAGTGAAAAGAATAGAAAACTCAGACTGGCTTTCGCAAAATCCAACATAAATAAGAATTCTGATTACTGGAATGAAGTTATATTTGCTGATGAGAGTAAATTTAATATATTTGGTTCTGACGGTAGAATCTTGGTGTGGAGAAAACCCAGGAAGAATTTCGCAAACAGAACTTGGTGCCAACAGTAAAACATGGTGGAGGAGGAGTTATGGTATGGGGGTGTATGTCGTCCGCTGGAGTTGGTAATCTTGTTTTTATTGACAGTATAATGGATCAGTACAAGTATATTAGGACATTTTAAATCAAAATTTGAAATCTTCAGCACGAAAATTGAACCTTCATAACGATTTTAAATTCTACCAGGGACAATGACCCCAAGCACACTGCTTTGAACGTTAGACTCTGGCTGCTGTATAACTGTCCTGGAAATAATAAGAAACACCCCCACAATCTCCAGACTTAAATCCCATAGAGAATATTTGGCAAAGAATTGGAATCAAGAATTCGCAAACACACACCATTTTCTTCAAAACAACAATTAAAATCGTTGCTTCGAGAAGAATGGGGTAAAATCACTCCAGAAATCACAAAAAAATTAGTCGAATCCACCCCAAGAAGATTAAATCATGTTTTAAAAGTAAAAGGAAATCCAACAATATATTAAAAAACCTTTTAAAAAGTAAAATTTTTGGATAAATATTTGATGGAAAAGTAAGTGTCCCATCACTTAAGTGAGCCTTTTTTTCTGCTCCGTTCTAAACAAATGTATTTTTATTAATTAAATTAATATTTTAATATTTTGAGAAAATTTATGTTATGTAATAATTGTTACTAAATTTAAGTATGAAACACACCCACAAAAAATTTTACATGTTTTTTAAATTTATTTTATTGCAGTTTCCTTTTATAAAGCACAAGTGTCCCATCACTTTTATGAGACACCGTATACATATATTTGAGTGAAAACAGTTGGCAGTGTACATAGAGAGGATGAAGCAGTATATTTCTCCTATATTGTTGCCACATTAATTTTTATTGCCAGACGTTATCAACATATCTAAAGAAAACAATTAAAAATGCAATTTAAAATATGAATTGTTAAATAAGGATTATATGATACATTAAAGTAGCTGCTTGTGTGGTCAGGTGCTTAAAATAGTTACTGTTAACAAAAAAAAAAAAAAAAAAAAAAAAAAAAAAAAAAGAAAAGAAAAACTATGTAATGCTTTTGTTTAGCCAGTATGATTTTGTAAGTCCAGCTACTAATTAATTATCAACAGAGCTAAAGAATGGCTTTTATTGCTTTTAAATTGCTTAGTATGTTAACCAGTCACAGACAGGTTAAATTTAAAAGAAAAATTAAATACCTTATCCCCAAATGGCAACAAACTAGTACATGGAAGATAAAAGTATTTTATATCCAGCAGTGATGTTATGTCATTTTAGTGATGATTAATTAAGAGTAATTTATAATTTCTTATTTGAATTTTCAGTTTGTAATGTAAAACATTTAATGCTACTTGATAAATTTTATTAAGTTGATTTTATTCTCAAATTTGTTTTATAATTATGTTTATTAAATTATATTTAATAATAAGGCACCCTACTTATGGATCTGTTTTATTCTTTGGATGGTATTACAAAAGCGAAGCTTAGTTATCTCTTTAATTGAATTTATTCAGTTTCCCATTTGCTGATAGGTCCTTAATCTTTTTCATTAATGGTCTTTAAAAGTCCTTAGAAGTACTTAATTTCCATGTCCAGAAATGAACACGTGAAATGAATGTTCATGAAATGAAATGTTCTTACTCATTTGAATTCTGGGTCAGAGATTTATAGTTAGAAAATCTGTGAAAAATTCACATTCAAGTGCTGTAAAGATTTCTACAGAATTTACTAAAAAGTTTTCTACTTTAATTTCATGTGAAATTGTTTGATGAGTACTCAGATCAGCTAGATTATATAGAAGCTGTGCTTGAAGAAAATCTTTTGTAAGTGCAAAAAAATAGAAAGCTTATTCTTTCCTTTGCAAAATTAATGGTGTGAGGGGCATTGTTTTAGTTAGAGTCATAGAAGTGTCCTGTATAATATAACAAATATTTATTAACAGTTATAAGTTGCACGCGGACATTATATTTAACTTTAAGAAAATTACAAGAGTCTGATACAACTTATCAAGTTAGACACTTGGCTTTTACTAAGTCCTCTGGCTACTCACTAGATGGCAGCCTTGTTGTCACAGTTTGTCCAACAGTTTATGTTAAAGGATTGGTTACAAACTTCCCCTCTGGCTCTGCCAACTTCTCGGCAAGGAGACAGAGCTGAAGGATTTGGGAGCTCTTGTAACATTGTCTCTAGTCTCAGTTTTTTTGGTTTCCTGGGCAAGGGGACCTCTCCTTGAAGCACTGTCTGGAACCACAATTTTTTTATTATTTCGGGAATGCAAAGTAACTTTTGGCAGTCTACCTCTCTTCCTGAGCAGAAGAATGGCATAAGCAGACGAGTTTTTGAAAGGTGTTAGTGCAGACGTATGGTACGTTCCTAACGGTCTGATGGTTTATGAAAACTTGAAATGGCATAGGAAGTAGGTGATTTCTGTGTCATTACCAAGTATGGACCATCATGCTTTGGTATGAACTTTGAAGACTTTTTGTTTTTTGCATTGCTAATGGGATGTAAATTGACCCATACTTTATCACCTGGTGATTAAAACACTTGTCGTCTTCCTTTATCATATTGCTTTAAGCAGGTACAGAATCATGACTAGCACCTGAACTAGCAACTTGTATTTTCGATTTCTCAAACTCGTGCTTGCATTCTTCTATCTCTTTCCTTTCGTTATATTCGCGTTCTTCACGCTGTTTTCTTTCGTTAAATTCATGTTCCTCTATTTCTTTTTGTTCCGCAGTAATGCTAAAAAATAGATCTTTAGTGAACTCTTCATTATATCCCTTACTCATAAAAATGGCATCCTTAAAATCAACTATTGTTAAGGATGTATCAACTATTGTCATTTGTCAAAAAAGAATTAAAAGCAGGAATTATGGAAGAATAGAGGAACATTGATGAAGGTATTACCCCCCCCCCCCCAAAAAAAAAAAAAAAAAAAAAAAAAAAAAAAAAAAAAAAAAACTACTCAATTCTATGCCTAGACTTTTAAAAGCTGTCATAAATGCTTCAAGATATCCTACAAAATACTAAGAGAAGTGCTGCAGTTTTTACCAATAACAGAAATACTACAATATGTGCGGATGTCTTTAAAGTGTATGAAGACATTTGTGATGTAACATTTCTGTTACTTTTTTATTATTGATTTAAAAAAAAATATTTTACTATATTCCTAAATTAACTAATGTATTTTTGCTAAGAGAAATTTATAGAAATTTTTAAAAAATTCTTTTTCTCAAATATTAATTTTTATTAATGAATAAAGCAATATTTCATTGAAACTTGTAAGTAAGGCACTGTATTTAGATTCTTCATTATTTAATTTTAGAGATTACATTATATGATATATTACTGTTGTTCTCCCCATATACACAATGATTTTTTTTCCTTTTTTTGCTTTGAAAAACAAAGACTTTCTTAAATTTGATTTTATGCTCATTGAACATGATATATATGATGTATTACTGGTTTTGTTAGTACTGGTATAACAAGTTTGCCAGTTCTGGAAACCAATCTTCCTGTTTTGGCAGCTGACCTAGGTAGCCACTTTAACAAGGAAGTATTATGAAATTTATTGGATTGAAGAAATGTTCAAATTCTGTTCCCTCACTCTTACTTGTTTTCAACACAATTTTTGTCATTAAATTTTATTTTATCTGAATTATTTTAATCCACTATGGTCATTCACAGATCATTTTATGAAGATTCCTAATCAGTGAATATTTGTATTTAATTATTTTAAATCAATAAATTGTACATTACAACATTTATCCATACAGTAGTTTGCATTAATTCTTAATTTTATTTTCAGCTTGTTTAAAAGCAGTTTTGATAAATTAAAGCTTTTCTTCCTTACTTATGATTTTTCTTGGTATAAAAATATAAGAAAACTACAAAATAAAATTATCCAAGGAGCATAAAATTTAGAATATCTGATTAAATAGTAATATATTTTTCTTCAGAATTATATTACAAATGTTTCAGTAACCTTAATCATACATTGCAAAAGGAATTTAAGTCTTTGTAGCTCTTTTGAAATGGGAATACTGTGCAGCATAAAAGGCCTCTCAGAAACTTGTGGTTTTTAATATTTCAATGTTGACAACTGTGTGTGTTGATGCAAGGATCTTAAATTTTAGTATTTACTTAAATATTAATTAGATTTGTATTGTGTTTTTTATATCTTAAGTATATTAACCCTCCGAGCGTTACGGGTTTAACCCTGAAATTTCAAAGTTCCTCAAAATGTCATGAATATGTGATATTTTCTTGATTTTAATTAAAAATGACTCTCTCATTTTGTACCTTAAATTCTTTTCTTCCAATATACATCCAAACCGATATCAGATACATTAAAAGCTACCAGAAATTTTCATGTATAATGAATATAGAAGGCAGCCTTCTATGCGGAATTTTCCGGCCGGAACGCTGAGAGGGTTAAGTATAAAATATTGTTCTGAAAATGGTATTTATTTTATAGACTGGAACTCCAGTGATAAAAGATGCCCCATCTTTGGATGCAATTGGTCTTCCTGACTTGCAACGATTTCCAGAACATGTACAATCACTTGTCTTGGGGCGTATAGACCAGATTGATACCCTGCCTCCTCTGCAAGAAATTACTTTGTATATTGCAGCTGATTTTTATGGTAATTTTGCCTCAGATTATCATTAATTTATTAATTTCTCTGACCATAAAAATAAAAGCAGTTATTTTTACTCTTGGAAATTATATATAATTTTTTTAAACAACTGGAATGGAATTAAATAATTGCACTCTTGCATTTTGTCTTCCAGTTCTGTACAAATAATAATAATACAGTCAAAAGTCGTTAATCCGGACACCCATAATCCGAACCTCAAAGCTACAAACTTTCTGCACATGCATCAACGCATAATGCGTTCGTGCATGCGCATAGGCGCATATATAGGCATTTATGCATATGCATGTGTGCATGCACATAATATGTTTACGCATGCATGTTTAATGTATAACGGACGGTATAAGCTAAGCTAAAATTATATGTAATTATCTATTTCAGTTAATGTTCAGTTGTTCCTTAATCTTCGAATTGGATCTGGCTTATTATTTTTAGCAGACTGTTAGAGAAATTTTATAAAAGTAAGCTTGAACTTTCGAATATGTCAAAAAGAATTTCCGATTCTGGAGCTACGAAAGGATCTACAAAGCGAAAGTATGTTTCGATGTCCATCAAACAAAAAGTGGAATTGCTGCAAAAAATGGATAAAGCATATCCTTTGATTCTCTAACCATTCTGAAATCTGTTTATCAATTTCACGCTGCTCTGGGGGGGGGAGGTTATTCAATATTGATTTCAAATGTATGCATTATTCTAAAGTATTATCTGATAAATTATTAAATTACTTCTATTTAATTAGTTTGGCAACATGAATCATCTTGTTGGAGAATTTTTCAAGTACAAAATTATTTGCTTTGGTATGTTAATGCAATAAATGTTGTTACATTTTGTTTTACATATGTATGAGTTTGTGGATTTTGAGTGATTAACGACGACACTGGATGAAGTATCGAAACACAATTTATTAGCCGGTATTATAGAAGACAGCTCCAAAGTCACATTTACAGCTGTCGAAGAACTGCTATAAACACGCTGAAACCTCAGCGACACAGCCTTAAGACTATCAGGCTATAGTGGTGATGACAGCTTCACGGCAAAGCACCAGAGTACATCTCCTGATTCTGCACAGTCGGTCTCCTTGGAACTCTATGTATTCTCGAGACTCTCCTCGCTACAACTCGTGATGCACTCGATGATACACTACAGTACAGCTTCTGATTTGGTTTGGTCGTTCTTGGAGCTCAACACACTAAGATAAAACTCGATGATGCACTAACTCACAGTACACTTAGAGACTCTCTCAATGCGCTCAATGATCAGCTCAGCACTAGACTACAAGACATTCACTTACTGTTTATCAAGTTATTCATCTGCCTCTGACTACTAACCAACTATCCGCGTACCAGCGTTTACGCATATATATAGCTTTTGGCTTGCGTTTGGGTTTATATAGCTTTTGGCTTGCGTTTGAGAACATTCTGTCCTTCAGTAACCAGTAAGAATTCATTCAAGAAGGTTCTCCACCCATCTATAACATATTGCCAATTTTGTTGCCAAATGTGGCAACCCTAAATCTGCTTTGCGGGGAAACTATCTTACCACGGCTGGGCATTTCTTAACAATATTCTGTTGTGTACACTTGTGTTATATACAGTAGAATTCCAGAAATCCACAAAGCTTGGGACCAGAGATTGTGCAGATTTTAGGATTTTGCGATTTCAGGACCGAAAAGATAAAGCATAATATTCGGACTGAAAGTGCAAAATGAATAAGGTGTATTAGATACATTTAATTAAATTATTATATACATTATTGCAGTAATTTATATGCATTAAATTATTATTACATATATAAATTGATTATATTATTCATTGTATTATATATACACAGCATCGAGGTTTACCGATTTCGCCTCACGCAAAGATTTCCGGTTTCGGATTCTGGTTAAAGAATCACTGTTGCTGTAAAATTTCAACAGCTTTTCTTTATTTTTCCGTATCATACACAATCGTGTCGCAATTCCATACCATTCTTTTATAAATCGAGGAGTAGCACCTGCTTCCATCTCTTGCAGAATTTGCACTTTTTGCATTACTGTCAATGCAACGTGTTTACGTTTTTCAACGTTGCAAAAAGTAAAATCACGAGTGTGTTTCTTATCTGTCCTTATATTAAAAAGGGTTGAAATTAAAAATATTCTTAATTTATCCACAAAATATCCGGATTAAAAAAAAGGCAGCACTAAACAATCTCGTGAAATTAAATAACAAGGCTCAGAAAATACAACAGCGGGAATCATGAACTTAGCAAAGAGTTGAGTGAATCGTCTGCTTTTTTACCTCGATTCAGATTAGATGGAAAAAAACTTATCTTATTTATTTTATCTTTTTTATGTCAATAATTTGGTATTTCCGTTTTGACTCATTATACTCATTATGATTTGGTAATTATGACATCATTATTCGGTAAGTATTTTGTTTCTTCGATATTTTGTCCTCAATGTTGCGGTTTCCGGAACCTATAAACTGAATGTTTATATTCTGAAAGGCAACTTGGATTTCAGGTTGGCGGATTTTCGGTATTTGACTGCATATATATATTTTTTTTCTGTAAATGTCTGCACTTTAAAAGAAAAGTTGTATATAAAATGTCTTTTAAATGTTTCATTGAAATGTTCACTTAAAGTATCTTTCTGCATTTGAATTCTAATACAGCTTAATTAATCTTTTGAAATTTAGAATGAAATACAGTCAAAAGTCGTTAATCCGGACTCGTCGGGACTTCAGCGATTCCGGATTATCGATTTTTCCGGATTATTTAATCATCAGTTTAAATCTGGTAAAATGGGATGCAGAAATTATAAAATTAAAAATATGAAACCGTAATTTACGAAATAAAGAACAATTATGATCTAAAGGGTTATCAAAATTTACAAAAAAAAAAGCTTAATATTTTATTTGTTTACTTTATTAACATTTCTTTTTTCAATGTAAGTTGTTTAAGTTGCTTCGTTTTTTATGTTATAATACATTCTCTTTAATTCTATAAACAGACATAATTTCTTGTTCAGTTACAAAGTTCCGCTGTTCAAGTCCTATAATTGCTGTGTCGAGAATACAGACTAATTTGTCAATCGAAATTTTTTTGTTTTCAATAACCTCTGATACTTTCTTCGCTATCGGACGTGAGAGGCATTTGATTTAAATCATATCAAAGACGAGATGAAATACTACATTGAGTAAGCAATTATAAGCCAAATAAAATAAAAACATCTGCCCTTAAAATAAGGATAGTGCTGACAGATCAACTTCCAATTCATTGCACGCCGCTGTCGCGTTAAAGATAAACAAACGTTAAAGTTTAGATAAACAAAGGATATGCTTTTATCCATTTTTTGCAGCAATTCCACTTTTTGTTTAATGGACTCCGAAAGATACTTTCGCTTTGTATATCCTTTACTTATTAGCAAATATATATCGGAAATTCTATTTGACATAATCGAAAGTTCAAGCTTACTTTTATAAAATTGCTCTAACAGTCTGCAAAAAATAATAATCCGGATCCAATTCGAAGATTAAGGAACAACGCAATCTGCAACATTAACAAAAATAGATAATTAGATAATTTTAGCTTAGCTTATCCCGTCTGTTATACATTAAACGCGCATTCGTAAACATATTTTGCGCACGCGCAAATTCGCAGCGGTAAAGGTCTTACGTGCATGCGTCAACGCGACGCATGCGCAGAAAGTTTGTAGCTTTGATGTACGGATTATAGATCATTCCGGATTATGGGTGTCCGAATTAACGACTTTTGACTGTATACTGAATACATGAAATGTTAATTATTTTCCTCTTTTTTGAAGATTCTGTTGTTGAACGTGACGCCTTAACAGAACGCATTTTTCCTTATTTGAGGAGATACACTGCTGAGAAAGGATATGAGTTAAACGTGAGTGACTTGCACTGGGGAATTCCAGGAGTGGGGCTTGTTGACCACAGTTTGCCAGAGTTATGTATGAATACTTTAGAAAAGTGGAGAACAAGAAGACGACTGTTGACTCTGGTAATGTGTACTACCTGATATGAAAAAAAGAGGTTATTTTTATGTGAGACTCAAAAGGGAGAGAGAAAAAAAATAATCTCTTTCTTTATATATATATATATATATATATATATATATATATATATATATATATTATATATATATATATATATATTATATAATATATATTTATATATTTTATATTATTATATATGTATATATATATTATATAACCATTTGTTTAAATGTAGGTAACCAATCCTTGTAATTTATTTTTAGGAAGAAAAATAAAACAGTAATTTTGAACAATAGAGAATATTTAATAAAATACTTCCTCTGCATCTGTTTTATATAAGAATTTGATGGAGTTAGTGAGGAATTTAGTGAAACCTACTTTTGAAAATACTGGATTTATTAAAAATCCAGTATTTTAAAATGTAGATTTCACGAAAAAAATTTAAATTCTGTTATTACTTCTTACATACTACTTAAAATGAATCATAATTATTATCCAAGAAACTTTTAGCTCATTGTGATTGTGAGTTTTTAAAAATTGTAGTGTAATTTAATATCTTTGGAGTAAAATTTAATTAACTGTAAAAGCAAGAATGCAACAAAATGTTTCTTGCTTACCTGCATAGAAGTATTTTTACCGGATTTACTGCAGTTATCTGCTTTCTTTTTTACACATGTTGGTTTTCAAATTTTAATGTTAAATGTTTTGTATACAAAGATTTATTTCTGACAATGTCTCGTCTTATAAAAGGCATCTCTTTCAGTTCTTTGCTAAGTCTACTTCCAGAGAAAAAAGCAGACTTAAACTGGAAGAAAATTTGCCAATATAAAATTTAAAATTATGTGAAAAAAAAACCTTAGTTTGCAATAGATTTTGAATAAAATACCATGTCACTTTGTGGGAGAAAAGAGCTTTAGCTCCCCCTTCTAAAAGTGAGTGACCTGTGTCTGATCATTCTGAAAATATATGAGAGTTTTATTCAAACTCTACTCCAAGCTAAAGTTGCTTTTTTACCTAATTTTAAATACAAAGTTAGCCATAATATCCTCAGGTTCTTTTTAAATTCTAAAAATTTGAATTGTAAAAAGAATTGCTCGTGGCGTCTGTACGTACGTACCTCGCATAACTCAAAAACGACGAGTAGCCTCAGAACATTGAAATTTGTGTATAGGACTGCTATAACATGTAGATGTGCACCTGGTATTTTGGTTGTAATCGGACACACCAAACGTATATAAATATATTTATATATATATCCACTCTGTTACCCAGCTCAGTGATCTCAGTTTCTTTACTCTTATGTGTTTGTAAATTGTACATTTTTTGCTTTAAAAATGATTGAATTATGTTGTTCATGTCTTCTGGTTAAGGATTTTATGCCTTTAGTAAATCTGTATGCAATATTTTTAGAATTATTAACAATTTTAAAGTTGTTTAAGTGCAGCTAAGCCTAATAATGTTTTTGATGGCTGCCATTGCTCTTGTTTACATTTGAAACAGCAGGATAGGGGATTTGTTGCCAATCTAGAGAAACTTAGCTTCGCAACAACAAAGGTAGCGTCTTCATTTATTATTGCGAATTAAATCATGCTTAATCCTTTCTGGAATTTTTTCGAGGAAATAAGTGTTTGTGATTTACTTCATAATTTTTAATACATATATTTTGAGTTTTTATGTATTTTTACCTTCTCGCGAAGTGAGAACTGAATTAATTGAATGAGAAATACTAAATCGTCTGTGAAAAACTGTTTCTTTTTTGTTTTGTTTGCTTAATTTCTTTTATACATCGTTCTAGCTTTATTATAGTATTTGAATAGAACATGTGGCAACGATTAGATAATTCTTTAAATGATATAAATTTTGTGCATTCTGAGTTATAATATGAACGAAATATAATACAGTTAAGTGAACCTATCACCAGAATGTCGCTATGATAAACAAATAGAATGAATTTTAAAGAATGCATTTATTCCACTGTGGTTTATGCACTGTCTGCAAAGCAGATTTAATTCAATCCAATACGTTTAAATGAAATGCAAGAAAAATGTGTATAATTTAATATTCTGTACAAGGAAGTCATGTGGTGTACACATCAGATTTTTTAAATGCATGGAAAGAAAGCTGAGTTTTGTTTACTGATGAAATCCCTTTTCACATCGCTTTTGAGAGATGGAAAAAATATAATAACTTCAACCTAAATAGCTTTCTGAACAGAATGGTTTCAGATAACTTGTTTTTGTAACATTGTTTCAAATTATTTTTCTTTATAGGACTTAAATGACTCTTCATTAGAGCCAGTACTCCGTTAAGACTGCAATTCAAACCATACTTATTTCTAAAATAATTTCATTTTACATAAGCAAGTATGTTATCCATGATAGCCTGAGAGCCACTCCATATGTTGAGATGGTTAGGGTAAATTAGCTTGCATACTGTTGGGTTTGAGTTTGAATCTCGAATAGGCCATAATTATGTGGGCACATTGATGTCTGAAAATAAAAGCAAGCACTGCAGTGGAACATGAGGCAAGTATGGTCTTTACCTCAGATTAAAAAGTACAAGGTGAGGAGCAGTTAAAATATAAGTAAGTATATATTAATTCAAAAGTAATAAATTATTTTGGTGGTATAGTTTTTTGGCCGTCTTTAGGCAAAAAGGCTGTCTATGAAAGTTTCAGCCAGGTTTTTATTATTATTTTTATTATTATTAACTTGTTGTGATTCATGGCTTGCAGCATCTCTTTCAGTGTTTTAGTGGAGGCTTGTTCGTGGTGACATAAATGAGGTCAAATCAGAGTGCTATGCAAGAGGCCATGTTGCTTTTGAGGACTGAATTTGAAGCCCTGACATGGGAGTGGAATCTTCTGCTGCGAGGGCAAAAGAGCTTTTATGTGCTAGATTCAAGAATTCCTACTTTTTCAAATTTGTGAGCATTGAGTGGCTCTGCTTACACTGCACAGGCTTCTCCAGCAACTTTGTGTTAATGAGGAGACACAACCTGTTGTCATGTGAAATGGGTTGCTGGGCTGGAGCTGTATTTCAGATTATTAAGATTATGTAAAGATAAATGTATAGATAGCTTTCAAGTACTGTAGTAAAAGTGCATAAGGAGATGAGAATTAGCATTTCAAAAATAATGATTTAAAAAGTCCAAAGTGAGATAAATATAAGCAAAGAGTTAATATAGCATAATGATGATTGGTAATAAAATGATAGCAAGTCATGACATGCATTTGATGTTCATTGCATTGATGCAATAAATTTGCAATGAATGTTCATTGCATTGTCCAGGTCTATTTGTTTGGGTGTGGTTAGTTCATCAGTTTTTCCCAAGGTGCATTTTTCTGTCACGTCCGAAAGGGCACCAAGTGGTAATTTAGTAATTTTTGAAGTGGTAATTTTTTTGCTTGCAGCTCTGCTTTCTGTGTTTTAGCAGATGCTTGCTCAGGGTGACATCTATGGGTTAAATCAGAAGTGCTGTGTGAGAGGCCACACTGGCTTAGGGGACAGAACTGTGACTTGAGAGCAGAATCCTATACTATAGGACAATGTCAACAGCCATACCATGCTGAAAGTACCGGTTCTCATCTGATCACCAAAGTCAAGTAGCATCGGACATGTTCAGTACTTGGAAGGGTGACCTCTTGAAAGCTTTTGTGCATTAGATTCAAGAATTCTGTCTTTCAAATTTGTGAGCATTGAGTGGCTACACAGATGCCATAAACTGCATCATAAGGATGGAATCAAAAGGTTTGATTATGTGATGATATTTACTTGTGTCCCTCTTCACAGCCACCAGTTTTTTCATTTTTATTTTAAATTCTTTGAATTTTAATGATTTCATTAAACAAATTCAGTTAATTTTGATACTTGTTAAGTATTATGCATGTAAAGCCATTTGATTAGTCAAATATATTGTGCAGATTGCTGTCTTAAACAAAATCTTTATATGTTTTCAGTTTTACCCACCTGCAAACAAAGATATAAGAATTTAATTTAGGCAATCTTTATGCTGTTTGTGTTACGTGGAAAAAGCAATAAAATTACCTTGACAATTTAACTTTTAAACTGACTACTTCTTAATGCCGTGGCAAAAAAAAAAAAAAAAAAAAAAAAAAAAAACAGTATTACTTAATTACTTTCATAATCAAAATAAAAACACTTTTTTTTTCAAAGAAGGTGAAAGATTCATCCCTAGTGTCTTGATAGAATCAAACATTAATTATTAATTTTCAAAACAAAATTCGAAAATTGCACTTTTGCAACAAAATCATCAATCTGCTATCTCTCACTAAAATAAAACTAATTCAGATCTCCAACCTGAAAACACATAAATTTCAGTACAAAATCTAGAGATAGCCTTAAACCCTTAACATTTAAAATACTACACAGATCTCTTCAAAATACCAGGGAAAGATACATCTCACATTTAAGAAGTCTACTCACCAAATATAGTCACAACTCTTAAAGTCTAATAGTCTCTTAAACACTTATAGTCACAACTAACTCTTAAACACTAGTAACTCTTAAACACTTATAGTCACAACTCTTAAAACTGATTTTTCTACTACCGCAATATGGTTACCCAGGTTCGATAAAATAATCATGTTTCTGTAAGGAACCCATAGGTGACCTACAGTAGACCACAATTAATACTCAAAGAAACATACAGTAATAAAAATAATAAGCACATTTATTAAATAAGTCCAATATATTATTGAAGATACGCAGAAAAGGCAACGTAAAGGTTACTCATAGACGAAACTTTTTTTTTTTTTTCTATCAATCTTCATTTTTAACATTATTCCATTAAGACAAAATCATAGTGGAACCCCCTCATATATCTTTAAATGACTCATTTAAACTCATGAATTAACATTAAAAAACATGCTAGCACTTTCTCAACTATTTTGGATTCATAACCTAAGGTTGATTGATCTTTAACAGCAAATACAAATTTTATCTATATAAAAGTCGGCTACGGCATTAGAACTTAACTCTTCCCAAATCCAATGAAAATATAAAATAAATGCCAATAAAAAATAGAAATGTTTTCTCACATATTCCACTTATCCCAGGGACTAGACGTACCGGGATCCAATACAAATGGTCCCACTCGGCTCAACGCTTTAACTCAAAAAAAAAAAAAAAAAAAAAAAAAAAAAAATCACCCTTTCTTTTATTTTGAAGACTTTTCGGAAGATAACGAAGGAGATGACAGCAGGAATAACGACATCGCTCTTTTTGCCACTTTTCCAAGCAAACTGAACTTAGCCGACAATTCAGAGTCACTCTCCACAAGAACACAACGACATAAAGATCCTGAACCTGGGCCCAGATCTCAGCCCGTATGCAAATTAACTGAAAGAGACAATGAGCTCGAACTGGTCCCCACTGCCAGTGCCACGGAGATAAACAATATTGCCATAACCAGCAGTCGCCCCAAGGGGTCCCGGGGGGGGGTAATGCTTCTCCAAAGTCGCCCCCAAGGGGTCGCCGGGTAATGCTTCTCTCAAAGTTGATTAAAACAGGGCCAAATCTCACGAAAAATCTCTTTTTCTCCTACCGTGCAACGGCTTAAGAAAACTTAATTGACATTCACAAAGAAAATGCCTCTAATTCACTATTGGCTCAAACATTAAAAATTTAAAAAATTAACAAAAGGACCTCCCTAAGCCAACTAGAACAAAGTGATAAACCACGCCAAAATTCTAAGAATTCAGAACTCTCTACAAGAGGACAGAACCTTTTCTTTCCCATCAAAGAGAATGTTTTTAACCTAAACTCTGTCAAAGTGGACACCCTTGAACTATTTGCCTCTGAATGAGCAAAACACGTGTTTTCAACCCCCACGAAAAGAGAAAATTGCAGCTGGCCGCAACTGACCGCTTCGTGGGAAATAGTAGTAATAAACCTCGCCCTTTTTGTTGAAGTTAATACCTCGCCCTTTTTTCTATTCACTTTCTATTCACTTGGGTTGCTGTATTGAGTTAAAGTTAACAATAAAATAAGCATTCAAAATACGAGCATTAGAAGGTTCACAAAATAATATATTACAAAACTTTATGCACAGTAAATAATCCATAATATGTATAACAAAAAATAATCTACTTTGCCTAACCTTAGTAATAAAAAACAAAAAGGAGGTTGAAAAAAAAGTTTATAGGGATTATAGGAGGGGGAGATACCCAGCTTATGTGTTAGTACTGGGCATCTTCACAGATCTTATTCGGAGATCTCTAAGAAGGGCTAACAACGGTATTTACAATAGTACCAAAAACCTTTTTTTTAATTCAATTAGCACATTTTTTAGAGCTCTTTTTTCAATACTGGGAGTTGATGAAAAAATCTCTAATTGATGATGATCACAGTAAATAAATAAAGGTACCAAACCGGCAATAATTTCTATGTAAGCAATTAATAACGCAAGTCAATTGTAGCATGGAGAGTAGCTCACTAATCTCAGTGTAATTGCCTAGAGCAGAAAAACCCAAAGCACGTATTGTCAAATGAATGCTGATGGATCTTAACATGAATAATAATTCAACATTAAAGATTGTAATTAAATCAGAAAAAATCTTGAAGAAAGTAAAATGACAGAGTAAATGGATTTAGTAGGAGGGAAAAAAAAGAGTGGAAGTGACGGCATTAGGGGGGGGTAATGATAGGAATAGGAATGGGGGGGGGGGATGCCTAGATCTACATTTAGCTAAGGGAAATGAATAATACAAGCTAGGTAATGTTTTTTGGACTCATATCATATTATACATATATATGTGAAAATAGCGCGCTAGACTTTGGCATGGTTTTAGTTTGTGTTTGAATGATACATTGGTGCCACTCTTCTTCCCACACATTACCAAAGCCTCATTTTGATCTGAATGGAATCAGTGAAATGAAGAAGATCAGGAACTTTTTTTACAGGGGTATCCCAATGAATGCTGATGATCTTCCACACATGAATAATTAATTAAACAGTATAGTTTTTTTTCCTATTGTAATTAATCATCCCCCAAAAAAATCTTGAAGAAATTAAAAACTGATATGAGTATTTTATTTATGTTTGATTGAAATAGGCATGTTAACAGTATATACAAATGCAGCTGTTGTATATGTGTGACTGTGTGCATTTATAATTTGCTTCTTGTAATGATAGAAAATTATTTGAATGTAGTGGCTTTGGTTCTCCATTCTGCTCCATATGATCTACATTTAGCTATATGTTGCATAATGAAAATATTATACAAAATGATTATAAATGTTTTTGGACTACATATAAGAATATTATACATATATATGTGTAAAATATTGTTTATTGATAGACATTTGCATGTGTTTTAGGTTGTGTTTAATGATAACATTGGTGCCACTCTTCTTCCACACACATTACCAAAGCCTCATTTTGAATCTGGAATGGAATCAGTGGAAAATGAAGAAGATAAGGAACTTTTTTACAAGTGGTATAAATTAGATTCTAAAGCATCTCCCATGGTATATGTGCTACAGCCTGTGATTACTCATTATCCAGCTATGGCAGGGGAAGATATTTCTGAGAGGAAAAATTCAACAAATAAATGGAAAGAAGAAGCCCAGAAAATGATAACTGTCTTTGGAAATATTCTTCCAGATGGCCAGAAGCAAAAGAATCTCACTTCTGGTCAGTAGCTCTGGCATATTACATAGCTAAGTTAGCTTAAGAAATTATTTTCTTCATTTATTTTCATATCTACATGACTGATTGAAAATTCATTTTCATAATACCCTCCAGTTTTATGAAGCACAAAGTCAAAAACTTTATTATATGATACTTTTTGTATCAAATATGTATAGCTATGTAGTTTATTTTGTGCTATTCTGTTCTGATTTTTGTTTTCTTTCATATAAATAAACATAATAATGACATCTGATGTTTCATAAAAATATAATATAAATTTTGCCCTTTAATAAAATTATTTATTTTTCACTTCAAATGCTGTTTTGCCAGAATGATTATTTATCATGCTTCATATCTACATGACTGATTCAAAATTCATTTTCATAATGCATGCCTGTAAATATACCCACAGTTTTATATAAAGTTTTATACCAGCACAGTTTTATACAAAACTTCATTATATGGTACTTGTACTTATCTTAATCTGATTTTTGTTTCGTTTCATATAAATAAATACAATAATGACATCTGATGTTTCATAAAGATCTAAATTTTGCTCTTTTATAAAATTATTTATTTTTTACTTCAAATACTATTTTGCTAGAATGATTATTTATAAATTAAGTTGGCTCTTTTTCTAAAATTATGCATACCATTGTTTTGAATGTATATAAAAAAAGATTTCCACAACTCAACAGCTGCCTTGTGTTTTTATAATAAATGAATACTTATTTAATTGCAACAAATATTCTCTTTACTAATGCAGATTTATATCTATAAGCACAACTACTCTCTGTGATTTGAGTGGTCATTTGAAAAACTGTTAACTGGCTTAACATATTATTTTCATTGTCTATTCTAGTTTTGCAAGAAGAAATCAAATTTATAGTAACTGATGATCCTCAAGAAGCAAAAAGAGTTTTATGGATGCAGCGTCGTTTTACGCACAAGCCATCTAGTAGTGATAAATCATCTCCAAATACACGTAGAATTGATCAATCAAAAATCCAACTAGAAGACTATTTACCAGACACCCAGAAATTGGTATTTTATGTGAAGTGGCATGAAGAAGGGATTGATCCACAGAATTTTGAAGAGGATGAGCAGTATATATCAGATGTTTGCGATACTCTGAAAGATGAACTGAAAAAATTAATTGATGGTCTTTTAGAAGAGGATTTTCTTGATGAAGCTCATGATATATATAGAGGTACAATTTATCTGTTGATTTTGGAGCTTTTTTTACAAAATCGATATTGATCAAAGTGATCCATTTGAAAAAAATTGATTATTTTATGGCTTTGAACAGAGGAGAATTTTCATTTGATGAAGATTTATAGAGGTGAATTTTCAGAATTTTTTGATATTAATTATAGATTAATGTTTGATCCTCTTATAATAGAGAACTGCAAAAAGAGTTTGTGATTTTTTTCAGAGGATATAACGAATTCACACACTTATATTTTATTACCACTTATTAAAAATTAAATAGAAGAGGATTTTTTTAACAAAAACTCACTCGATACACTTCTGAATAAAGAAAGAAAGAAAAAAACTCTGATTCTAAAGAAAAGCAGATAACTGAAATTAAAATCTTAATACAAATATTTTTGTTGTGGTAGACCTTGATTTACCAGCAGTAATAATGCCAATCAGTAGGCATGCACAGTACATTCATCAGTACTTCATCAATATACATTATCAAGCCTTTTAAAAAAATCAGAGTCTATTTTATAGTCAGTTTGTTACTTCTAAGCTATCTTTATCTTCACTTATCCTATTATAGCATCTCTTGGGCTATCAAAAGAATTGGTAATGCTACATACTTTTTAAATGAACAAAATGTTTGTGGAGTCATTGCAAAGGGCAGAAAAATTTGAAAGAAAACTGCAGTCTAATGTGCACTTCATTTTTGGAAATGTGTTTATATAAGAGAGAAATGTAGCTTAGAATCAAAGAAATATATTTATATTCTTTTCCCTGTAATATGAACTGTTTCCCTTAATGTACAAGGGTTGGAACTTTAATAGTGGCAACTATTTATTTACAAGGAATACAAAAGTGATTCATGTTACAATGTTTTACAATCCTTCAATATAGTTGCCAGCATTGTGTAGAACCCGTTTCCAACAATGTGGAAGTTGCAGAATACCTGTAGCAGCGCCTGTTTTGTTGATAGTTTGAATGGACCGGTCTACTGCCGCAAGAATCTCAGGAACAGTTTGGAAGCGAGTGCCACGAAGTGGTTCCTTCATCTTAGGAATTAAGTCATAGTCACAAAGGCTTAGATCTGGGGAGTATGGTGGATGGTAAAGCACTTCCCAGCCCCCATCGCTTGAAAAAAATCAGTCACAGCTTGCGCTGCATGTGGCCGAGCATTGTCATGCAAAATGAGAGGAGCGTTCTGCAGAAAGTGTCGCCGTTTTTTTCTCAAAGCTGGTCGGAGATTGTGCTCCAAAAATGAGCAGTAATACTGCGCAGTGATGGTCTGCTGTGGGGGAACGGTATGAGTTAGGATGACACCATCAGAGTCGTACACGAGATCATCACCATAACTTTCACATTGTTGGGGTTCTGATGAAATTTCGAACGTCGTGGTGACCCGTGACAACGGCATTTGTTTGATTGGCATTTCAGTTTTGGCTGGTATGATTGGGCCCAAGTCTCATCCAGCGTAATGATACGGCATAAAAAAGCATCTCCTTTGCGCTCATAGCACTCCAGATGGGTTTGGGCAGCATCGTATTGTAGCCATTTCTGCATTTCCGTCAACTGATGTGGAACCCATCATGAAGCAATTTTTCTCATGGACAGGCGTTCCTTCAGAATGTGCAGCACAGTCGTATGCGCTAATCCTGTTTGTCCGACCAGCTGACGAATCGTTTGGTGGCGATCACTGTTCATTGGTGCGGCAACAGCTTGCACGTCTGCATCGCTGACACTCGGATGACCTGGCCCAGCTGGCCCAACATTGTCTGCCATTTTTGGCATCCTTCATTGAATGCTTTCACCCATCTTGCTACAGTTCTGTAAGGCAATGCAGATTCCTTGCAAGCCTCTTGAAGCCCTTGATGACACTGTCGTGCTTTACGACCTGTGGCACATTCAATTTTTGTCCAACATCGTTGTTCTTGTTTTGAAAACATCCTGACAACACTTACTTTCGACTGCGAGCTAATACAAGCATCCGTTCTTCGTGTCACTCCGCATGCGCGTGACATAAGCAGGACGAGTCTTTTTGCTGAGAGGTAAGGTAGGTATGTAGTTTACATGTGGTATACGTGATATTCTTTATTTTTGTTGCGTAGCGTTTTTTCAGCTGTGTTGCCACTATTAAAGTTCCAACCCTCGTATAATCCTAAATGATAAAATGCAAAAAGGAAGAAATGATGTTTCTGTTCTAGTTTGAAAATGTAAATAATTAAAAACAGATTTAATAGTAAGAAGCAAACAGATGTAATGTAACACTGAATTGGTTAGCAAAATGTAGATAAAAATTTTAAAAACATGGTGTATCAACTATAAAAATGTTATACCTCAACTAAATTTTCTCTTTTTTAACTTAATTTGTTGTTGTATTTCCTTGTAACTTCTCAGACATAGTAAGAGTAACAGCTGAATTATTACTCATTATCCAAACTTACAAATTATCATATGGTATATGATGTATATATTTGTTGTTCAAATAATTCATTATTAAACTTTTGGTCTCAGATCAAATCATTTCTGCATTTACTTCTAATCATAAAGACAAAAATATTCATATTATGTTTATTTCAAGTTTACTTTCCTAACTATGGCTTCAGTAAATATTTTCATCAACAGCAGATTATTATTATTATTATTATTTTTTGATAATAAGTTTAATTTGGGTTATTTATTTTAATCCATAAAAATTCTTAAGTATATTTTTTTAAGAATTTTCTATTAATTTATAAAAATCAGTAAAGAGAGTAGCAGCTGCCACACTCATTAGAATACTAAAAAATAGCATTATTGCTTTGCAAAAATGGTTAAAGGATGGATGAATTATGAAATCATTTTTTATGTTCTTCATTCATTTAAAGTAAAAAGGTTATGTTTTCTGAAGTATAAAAAAGTATTTTACTGTCTTAACTTTAATCCTTTAAAATTGGTTCAAAATTATATGCATTGATGCATAATAAAGGTTTTATTGAAAATAATGTTCAGCTTTATGATTGTTTCATCTGCAAAAAGTTTCTCAACATGCATTTAAACTTTTGTTATTTTTCTCTATACCAAAATGGATTTACCTGCTAACTGGAGAAAATTTTTATAAATCTGAATACAGTTTTTTCTTAGTTTAACAATTTTCTTTCCCTGCATTTTCTTGAGAATTCTGAATCAATTTCAGGATTACTGTTTTTATTTTGAAGAACTTTTGACACAATATATATTGAATATAATATTTAATCTTCTAACATTATTGGAAAAAGGGCTAAACTTTTTTTGAAGTAATTTGAATTTGTTTTTACCATATTCATTAAATGCCCAAAAAGCAAACCTTATCTAAGTCAGCTCGATAAATCTGTTTCTGAAATCCAAATTATGGTATGATATCATCCAATGACATGTAACATATTTTCCATAAAATACTCTGGTGGACAATTGCTAAGGACAGATGACAGTAGCTGCATTGCAACCACAAAATGGAAGGCAAGAAAATGTGGAAATTAGCATGAGTGTGGGAAGCAGTAAGATGTATTATGTGTATGCAAATTTCATATTGCTAAAGTTGTTCGTCATTTGATAGCACTGCTAAGAAATATAAAGGATTTGGTACATATTGAGCATTGTTATTAAAAAGCAGAATTTAACAGGAAAGAATCAATTGACAAATTTGCAATTTTCGGGGTGTCCAACATCACTTGGAGGTTTTTACGCCTGACAATATTATTGGCAAGACTGAAGAAGGGTGAAAAATAACAGATATTCCTATGGAATTCAGTGTCAGCCACAGTGTTGTTTCAAGACTTTGGAAATCATTTCAAACAAATGGAATGTGTAACAAACATTACGGAGTTCATGTTCACAGCACATGCCTGCGAAAGATAGATACATAGTGCTAGCGACAAAAAGGGACCTCTGCAGCACAGCTACTGAGGTAGCAAATCTGCTACTGGCAAGTGAATCTCCTGAAAAATTGTAGCCACATATTTGTATCAAGGTGGACTATACATCCACTGTTCTCTTATGTGCATTCCATTGTCTAGACATCACCAATCCCCCATTTGCAATAGTGTCATCAGCATCGCAGTTGGAGGGAGAAGACTGGTCTTATATACTGTTCTTTGATGAAAGTAAGTTCAGTCTCTCATCTAATTGTGGATGACAACTGATGTAGCATGAGAATGGTACTGCATATAGTCCGACAAACATACAGGAAAGAGACAATATCTTACATGTAGTATCATGGTATTGGCTGGGATCATGATCAATGGGCATATGTCACTCTATATACTTCCAACTGGGACTATGACTGGCCAGTGTTTCATTAACCCCTTAAGGCACACATTAATTTTTAATTTTCGGTCAAAAAATCACCTATTTTTTTCTTGCATAATCATATTCTCTAGTGCATTTTAAGACATGATCGACAAATAAAAGTAATTTTTAACTAAAAATTTAATTAAAAAATCTTATTTTTAATTTTGGAATAATATCACTTAAAGTTGTCTTTTGTTATGCTCCTTTGTATTAGAAAAGACAACATACAGGGGTACAAGTATAGGCTAATTTAAAAATATATATATATATTATACAAACAAAGTGAAAACGATTTGATTACATGTTTATTTTGAATTTCAAGTTATTAAAATCAAATTAAATCAAATTTTCATACTTGCAAACATAAAATTGACTAAAAATTCAGTTTGGTATGATATACCATGAAGCATGGTACTGCGCAAAGTCCAACATTACAGTTCCTACAATAGTATCTTGTTTCTTTCCTTATCTTTTTACCCCTCTCATCTCTTTTACTGCAACAAACGGCGCAATTTCTACAAGGGGCCGCTTTCTTTTCTGTAGGTGGTACAAATTCGGGAAAGTGCCTTTCAGTTAGTCTCAGAGGCCCAGGTTGGTAACCAGGCCGACCTGTTCTTTTGGGTAACACTTTTGAATGGTATTTTTCACTTAATTTTTCCACAAGCGTTTTAGGGAATTCCAAATGGTCCCGTTTGGTTGATTTATACTAATTTGATACCAATTCCTTGCTATATCCAAAATTTTGTTGTCATTATCTTCCAATTCACTTCCATCACTCAAGAAATCATCACTCTCATCGCTGAAACTGTCTGATAAATTGGCATATTCAAAATTGTCATCGTCAGAGTCGCTCATTATCAGATAACTTTTTTTAAATTACAAAAACACTTAGTAATATAATTTGCAGTTAACTGCTTACTTTTATTATATTTACGTAATAAAAATGGATATCTTACCTTTTCCACACCAAACGACTACTTTATAGCAAAGAATTCCTAACAAACTTATAGCTAATCATCAAAATGCGCCATGTGGTTTACACAAGAAAAATGCTGAATAGTGGTGCCATCTATGTCAAATAAGTTTAATTATAATCTAGCCTATTTATTTTTACTGGAACGGATCTCAGACAAGCATTAGAAATGAAATAACGCGAGATACAAGGGCGCCCGTGTGAGACACGGGCATATGCAAATTTGCCGGAAACTTTCGCCCATGTGAGACACGGGCAAATGCGTTAAGGGGTTAATGATGGCTGCATGTTCGCATGTTCCATGGTGCTGTCAGTGATAAATTTGTTTTCACAAAAAACAATGCAACATGTCATCGAACAGTCTCTGTCTGGGAGTGTCTAGAGAGCGTCCAGATCTGAATCCCACTGAAAATATTTAGAGAGGAGTCTTTCTGGTCGACGGTGCCCTCCATTAAACAAAGACATCTTCATCTATGTACTGACAGAGGAAGGGGATAAATTACCCCAACAGTTGGTGGATAATGTTGTGCAAAGTATGACATGATGTGTGGAATCTTGCATAACCCTCCATGGTGGCCATATTCCGTATTGACATCTTACACTAAAATACATCTTACACTAAAAAAACCTGCGGAAAGTGATTGTGTCCCCCCCCCCCCCACACACACACTTTTACATGTTCTGCACAAAACGACCATTTTGTCCCTTCAACAGTTTTCAAAGATTTCTGGATTTGAAGCATAATAAATTATCTTTATTGTTATATCCTAGTATTTTGGCATTATTTTGTCTTGGCGTCTAACTACACTTACTTTTTTACACAGTATATAACTGTTTGTGATCCAGCCTTAGCAGTTGTCCGCCATGTATATTTCCTTATGACTTCTGCAGCTTTGAGTTTGCTTTCAGTGTTTATTGTGAAAAATTTTTTTGATCTTACAGTACCATATAGAAAAATTTCTGAGGTAGAGATTTGTCGGCCATTAGTAAAAGAGCAGAGAATTATAGAAGCTGCAAGATTTAGGGTGAAATATAATTTTTATATCTGATTGATTTCACTTTTAAACTAATAACTGCTGTGATAAATAACATTTATATGATAACAAATTAACATCTTCAAATTTGTCTCCTTTGTTGGCATGAGTTCTGACAAAAATAAGAAAGTTCTTAAAATGGAAACGGAAACAAGTTCTATGAAAAAAATTAAAATTTACGTAAACCTTATGTTATTTCTTTTAAGGATTGTCTTAAATACTTTCAGGAATTGAAAAGCCTTTATATATAGAACTAATTCAACAGTATCAAGCATGCCAAAAGTTAAGCAAGAACTTCTTGCATTGTGAAACCAGCCTTCAATCTGTAAAGGAATATATAACTGGAAGTAAAAGCTCTCCTTTAATAGTACATGGACCTTCAGGCTGTGGTAAGACATGCCTTATGGCAAAGATTACAGAATTAGCATCTACATGGTCCCCTGGAGCATGTATAGTTACTAGGCTTGTGGGCTTGACTGCAGAATCTGCAACTCAACAGCAGCTTTTGAGAAGTATATCAGAACAGTGTTGTGCCTTGTATGGTGAGCACCCAGCTGTAGCTTCTGCAGTAAGTTTAAATTTACAGTAATAATAAATTTGATTACATATTTTCATTCTATGCTTGGTACAAACATTCATTTGGGGAAAAGTTTGTGTATTTAAATGAGCAAGTTTTATTAATTTAATGGCATTAATGTTATTATTGTTTTCCTAAATTTTGTTTTACTTTCTACAAAATGTATACTTTCTACAAAACATTTTGATAGCTTATTTAATTTCCTCTGCTACATGAAACTTCTTCTGTAAAAAAGATAAAATATCTAATGAATTAATCATTAATATTAGAGAGTAACGCTTTGTATAATATGAATTAACTTTCAAAATTGTTTAAATTTATGTGTAACTTAAACATTTGCTATAAACAAAATTTAAATTATCACTTGTAAAATGTTTAATAATTCGTGTATTGAATTTTTTTAAATATTGTTGTTAGATGTCTCTAAACCTTCAAATTCTTCTCATTGTATTATCTTGTGCATTTATTGAATTATATATTTACATGTTTTGTATTTGGGGCCACAAGATTTTTTATATAAGTGTTTCGTATATGGAATTGTTGATTTTGTTGTTCTGAGTGTGGCAGTTTTCAAACTGTAAAAATAGCTTAAGTAAGGTATGCTTTTTACAGGCCTTCCCAACCTATCTTTCCCGAGATTTCTAGAACTCATGCTACACCACCCCGGGCCCATATTGCACTATAAATATAGCTGAGAGAGCTCAGACCTGTTGTTTCTGCTGTTGTTATTCAACTGTAAGATTTAGCATTAGCCTGAGTTGTGAGTTTACTCTGTAAGTGATTTTAGCAGTTGCCAATATCTCTCTTGCAACTAAGGAATTACTTAATGATCAGGTGTTTTCTTAAGCTATCTGAAGGTATTTATTATGCTGTTTGTAATTAATTTTTATAATAAAGTGTTAATTTATTTCTTTTTATCCGGAGTGATCATTCAGAGAGATATCAATGAACCAGTAGCCTGCAAGGTTGGTGTCAGAGGTGGAATCTGATTGAATGCTAATAACCAGATGATGAAGAGAAGAATGGAAGAGCATCTGAAAGCAGTTTTGGAAATGATTGCTGCAGGAGGATGGAGAGTGTTGTTCTGGTTAAAGAAGAAATTGTGAATGCTGTGATTTAAAGATTGGATCAGAAATTTCTATAACTGGCTTCGTCTATGTCCTGGTTCTGTGTTGTTTGAATGCTCTGGCTTATCCTGTTTTGAACAACATCCCAGTTGAGTTCCCTATTCCCACAACTGATCTCTCTCAACATGATGCAAAGTCATCATGGAGCATAATGAAAATCCAGTTCAAAATTATTTTGTGGCAAATTAGTGAACTTTGACCAGAGCCTTAAATTTGCCTCCATTGTTAAAAGAAGAGACTACTGACATCTTACAGATGTTTCCAGCCAAAATGTGTTCAGATATTGATGCTTTAGTTAATGCATTAGATCTGTAGTTTAGAGGAACAATCCTGAAAATTACCAGCATTGCAGCTGAAGACCATACAGAACTGGCGAGTCATGCTGGAAATTTAATGCAGCTGGCATTACCATATTGCAGCCAAGAAATTAAACATACACTAAATCTCCAATATTTTGTGGATGCTATTAGAAATCCCAACATACATCAAGCACTCTGAATAGCGGATAATAAAGATTTGAAGAGTGTTGTAGTGCATATTATGGGAAAACTGCACAGAATGTCATTAGCAAAGATTGTCGGCATGTAAGGGGTGTCAACAGTGTGGAAGATATAGTGCTGAAAATGCAGTATAGTTTACAAAAAAATTCGAAATGGTGGAAGCTTCCAAGGCAAAATAAAATAGTAGCACTAGAAAAGGGAAATGTTGGAATTGTAAAAGGGGGCATTTATGGAAACAATATCATGTCCCTGAAGTTAAAAAAATCAAAGATGCCTTCATAATGGTTTGGTTTATTTTAACTAACTAAGCACATGAGCAGTGTTATTCTTAGGATTTTTTTGGAAGAGTAAAAATACTCCTTGACTTTTTTAGGAGGAGTGAAATACGGAAATAGCATAAACTACATATACAGAGACAAATTTTCTATATATATATATATATTAAAAAAAAAAAAAAAAAAAAAAAAAAACTTTTTAATGGACAAAATGAAATAGAAAAAAATGAGGATGCTATTTTTGTTTTTGACATTTATAGCATATGTTAAGTATTAGCAGAAAATATTAAACATTATAAATAAAATAATTTATTTTACATTAAACGTTTTAAATGAAATATTTATTTAATATAACAAATTTAATATCCTTTTCCTCTGATTTTACCACAATGTTACAGCTGATTTCCTTACAATATCAAACCTCTGTTCAAATTAAAGTTACAAAAAACATTTATTCTTGGTTGCATTTTAATTTTAATATCTTTTCCCCTGATTTTCCGACAATGTTACAGCTGATTTCCTTACACTATCAAACCTCTTTCCAAAAAGCATTTATTCTTGGTTACTTTGCAATTTTAATCTCTTTTTCCCTGATTTTCTTACAATATCACAGCTCTTTCAAAATTAAAGTCGCAAAAAACATTTCTCCTTGGTTACATTACAATTCTAATCTCCTTTCCTCTGATTTTCCCACAAGGTTACTGCTTTTTCAAAATTAAAATCACAAAAAACATTTCCTCTTTGTTCTTTGAAATCTGGGTCTTGCTCAGATATTCTCGTTAGAATTTCCAGTTGTTTTTCTGTTGACTCTTCTTTCATTAAAGCAATATAGGGGCTTTGTGAAACATCCTCATGCAAATTTGATTCTAATACTTCTGAAAAAGCTTTAATTATGTCTGTAACTGAATTTTGAGATAAATTCAAGTGAGTCTCTTTCACAGTTTCATTTCCTCAGGATTTCATAAGCATCATTAAAGGCTTAAATTTCGTTAAAGGAAGTTCTTCTTTTCCAATAGTGTAAACAGTTTTGAACACTGAAAAATCCCCATCTGTTGTTGTAGATTTTTCCTTTTTGATGATATTTTCAAGAGCTTCAATATCTTTCTTGGCATTTAAAGCCTGTGTTCTGTAGTTTTTTCGTGGCGAGACAGAGTACTTCTTTGGAAACATTATAAATCCATCACACCCACGCCATCCTTTATATTGGCAGATTGACATATTTTACAAAACATATTATTTTCCACTTTATTGAAGAAGGCCCAAGGAAATTCTTTAACCCACTTACTTTAAAACTTATCATGTTTCTTCTGGTTGTTCATCAGTCTTTGGTTTCTTAGCTGACACTTCTGAGCTGGTTGACACTTGGCTTGACGGTTTTTTATAAAAAAAAATCCTTGATGGATTTAGAACTCATATTTAAATATTTAAATATTTCCTTGATGGATTCAGAATTCATATTTAAATTAATTTTTCTCCTGGAATAATTGCTTCGGTCTCAAGGGTACCACTCGATTGAATTAAATGGTTTTAAAAAATTAGTTAGAAACTAAAAAAATATTTTTTATGTGCTTCTCGTAAAAGCTGATCACTTGTAGAAACTTTCGTTTCCTTTAGCAGACTGTATGGAATTTCTTAAACTTAAAATTTTCTTCATATGCGATCTTAATTTCACTTAAAATATTAATTTTTATATGAAAGGAATTTATCTTATAAACGCGAATATAAATAATAATCATTTTAAGAGGGACATTTAGTTAAATGGCGATCTCGCACCATCAAATTAAAACAATAATAATAATAAAAGTTATACTTCTCTCCTACAGAATATTTCAAGAAAACAAGAGTATTTACAGCAGAGTTTGTACAATCCGAAAAAGTACTTATTTTTGCCAAAAAATCGGTAAAAATCTCAAACTTTATGCAAAATACTGATTTTTGAATGGATAGATGTCAGCTAAATATCGATTTTTGCATGGGGTGACTCTTAACAAATTAATTTCATATAACCAGAACGTTAAGTCCCGATTTGTCCACTATACTACAGGTCAACCTAAGTTGAAAACATTGGATATACTAGAAACTGTATGCGTCCGCTGAAGAATATAGTTCTACCATTTCGAGAAGTAATATTGTAAAAATTACGCTGTGAAATATGATTACTGCTGAACAAGGAGAACGTAAGGGAAAAAATGTGTAAAACGATAGATTAATTTGCGTCCAGCTTTTTAATTAAAAATTTGCTAAGTCATTTCAATCATTCGATGATTAGCAGAAAGACATCCCCTTTTTTTTGGCATTATTGGCGAAACTGCAAATTCCAGCAACACCGACTTCACCCCACTATCAATGAGAAAAGCGATTAAAGCATTCATTCATTCACTGATCGGGAGGAGAAAAAAAGCAATTCATGGCATCTGCCATCATCTTCGACATATGTGTTTAATTTTTACGCTCATAAAACTGGAAAACCATCGCACAGTGCCGCTAAGATTATCGTTATGAATGTTTTTGTCAAATTACGGGAGCATTTTCCTAATAAATCCGATAATGATATTGTTACTTTTGCTGCTGATTTGACTGGCGTTTCTGTTGACAAGCGTTGACAAGCATAAATCGCATGAAATCCGAATTGAAAGATAATGGAGGATTTTCGACTCCAGGTAAGAAACAACCTCTGAAAGTCAGTACACAAACCCGAATCAAACAATATGAAGAGTTAACTTTAGCAACAAAACGAAGGAAAGTTCATGGTTTCTTTTTACGGAATGAAATTCCCACTGTGCAAAAAGTGGCTAAAGTTATAAATGATGAAGCTGATTTGCCAAATATGTCCATTCGCATAGTAGGACGAATTATGAATGATTTAGGATTTGTGTACAGAAAACGAAAATGCCAGTCAATTTTGATTGAACATGACGATATTTAATGCTGGAGGCATAAATATCAAAGAGATATAAAAAAATATCGTTCACAGGGCAGGACAATTCATTACACGGATGAAACTTTGGTAAATTAGGTAAATTCTGGGCATTTAAAACCAAAATTTGGGAGGATACAACTATAAAAAGTACTAAGAGTGCTTTTTTGAG